TTCAGTGGCATTGGAACAGCATATGCAAAGGCTCTGAGGTGGGAACAGCTTGGTTTGTTTAGGAATCAACAAGTAGGCTGGGGTCAGTGGTTCAGCCAGGAATCCCAGCACTTTAAGAGGTCAAGGCGAATGGATTGCCTGAGCCCACAGGTTTGAGACCAGCCCAGGCAACTTGGTGAGACCTCGTCTCTACAATAAATAAAAAATCAGCTGGGCATGGTAGCGCACACCTGTAGTTTCGGCTACTTAGAAGGCTAAGGTAGAAGGATCGCCGGAGCCCAGCAGGTTGATGCTGGGGTGGCTGTGAGCGTGCCACTGCACTCCAGCCTGGGCAATGGAGCGAGACTCCAACTCAAAAAAAAAAAAATCAACAAGTAGATCAGTGTGGCTGTAACAGAGTTAGGGACTGGGTTGGTGAGAGGGAAGGGAAAAGATCATAGAGGTAGCAAGAGGCCACAATATGTAGGAGAATATTAGAAGGACTTTGGATTTAAGCCATGAGTTTTTTGCATAGGGTAGATAGACTTTGGCAGTTTAAAAGGACTACTCTGATTATTGTATTGAGTACAAACCACAGGGTCAAAGGAGGGAAACCAGTTAGGAAGCTGTTATAGCAGGCTTTATTTAGGATGGAGGTAATGAGACATGATAACTTTTGTAGGTGTTTGATGGTAGGTTGCAGAGTATATAATAGAAAGAGAGAGATCAAAGATGACTTATTTTTGGCTTGAGCTTATAGTAGAATGAAGTTGTAATTTTCTGGGATGGAGAAGGTTGCAGGAAGAGCAGACTTGGTGTGAAATTATGTAAGGTTCAAGATTCCTATTATACATCTAAGTGGATGTGTCAAGTGGATAGGTGGCTATCTTAATCTGAAGTTTAGGAGAGCAGGTAGGGTTAAAGATACGGATTTGGGAGTTGTCAGGGTATAGATAGTATTTATGGTAAAATGACTATATTAAATTACCTGGAGAAAGAATAAGTGAATAGGCCTGCTGTCAGACCTTGGGCTATGGGCTACTTAGGCATTCAAGGTTGAGAAGAGGAGGGGAAATCTACAAAGGAGACTGAAGAGTTGATTAGTGATGCAAAAAGAGAACTAAGAGAGGATAGTGTCCCAGGGTTCAGTGAAGAAGTGTTTCCAAGAGGGAGTGAGCGGTTGTGTCAAATGAGTAAGGTTGAGAAATCACCTTTGGATTTAGGAAATTGGAAGTCATATTTTACTTGACAGGAACTATTCATTGGAGTTGTTGGTAGTGATGAAAACTTGGAAGTGGACTAGAACCGAAGGTAGCTAATGTTGATAGGCTTTTTAGACTTTGTCTTTTAGGGGAAGTGTAGAAGTGGGACAGCATATGGGAGTCAAAGGAAGATCTTGACAGTTTTAAAAGATATTGCATTATATTTGTATGCTGAAAAGAGTGATCCCATAGGGACAAGAAGAATCGGGAAAGAGGTAGAGTTGTGGAGGCAGTAGGGGAGAGGAGATGACATCAGTGTACAAATGGAGGGAACCATAGACAGAACCATTCACTCGTAGTGACATCAGGATTGGCAGTGGATATGTGTAGAGGTGAGATAGATTGGTGCAAGTGGTGATTGGAGGATGCAGAAGTTCTCATTTCATTGCTTAAAATTTTTTTTTTTTTTGTTCCCTCCTTCCAGTGAAATAACAAGTTAGGTCAGAAATTATGGAGAAAGTACCGAGTCTGTACTTAATCGGGAAATTAGATGACTGAGATGGGGTGGACAAGAGCAGTGGTAGTGTATAATTGAGACAGTAAATTTGATATGCCACTAGGTCATTACAGTATTTAGCTTTTTCTGGTTTCAATAAATACTTCAATTTTACTATTAAAATACTAATAAAGCATATTTATATTCTTAAAATGTACAGTTTTATAATTGCCAATTGGTTCTCAATGTACAAGACTCTCAATTTTCTTTTAGTTTATGCACCTTTAATCTGCTGTGTCAGTATTCCTCAGGGAGCTTTGTTAAAGAAAAAAAAACATTTTAAGATTCTGGACCAAACCATGCAATCTGGAGACCTACAATCTAAATTTAACTCATAGAAACATTTTGTTTGATAGAAATAGTGTTTGGAAGAAAACCTTGAATTTGGAAGTTTGATGGGGGGCATTCCAGTTTACCATAGGCCCTGCAGTTCTCACAGGCTCCATCATTTACTTTCTGCTTCCAGCAGATATTTGTGTTTTAGAATTTTCTATCATCTTTTAGGTCCCCTTCACTCATGTTTACTATTACTGCTTCTCAAGCCATGTACACTTAAAGCCCTTGCCTTAAGTCTGCTGTGTCAGAACTCCAGAGTTGGGCTTTAGTAACCTCTGTTTAGAAATGTTCTTACATGAATCTGATGACAATCAGGTAGTGTTTCACAAAGGCAGATCTTCCATACTGGCCATGGGTCTTGATTTAGTAACTTGACCTCTCTGGTTTTCAGTTTTCTATCTATAAATTTCTATCTGTAAAATTGATGTTAAAATGGTGGAACCCACCTCATGTGATAGTGGTGAATGTTAAATGAGATAATATATAAAAAGCACATGTGTCTGGCACATGGTAGATATTCAGAAAGATGTTTTTCTCTTTCCATTTTCCATTGGGAGTAGGATCTTAAAAACTTCATTTCTCTGAATAGGTTGAAGGTGTATTCCATGTCAACCAAAGCATTAATTCAGACACTAGTTTAACTAGTTAAACATAGCCATATAACCTAGTGGCTTAAGCAAGGAAGAAGTTGAATTCACCATAATATAAAATTCTAGGCTAATTAACTACTCAGGGGTTCTAGCGATCAGAACCCTTCTTTCTTGCTTTACCTTCCCTGAGTCTTCTGCACTCTGCCACACAAAGATGAGTTCCACCTCATTAGAAGGAGGAAAGAGCAGGTTAGGTGTAGGCAGCTTTCTTTCTAGGCTGTGGTCTAGGAATTTCACACATTGACCAAAACTTAATTACATGTACACACCTAACTGTGGGGAGGCTGGATCCTATAGTTTCTAGCAGGGTAGCCATGTGCCCAGTAAAAAACTCATAGGATTCTAATACCAATGGGAAGAAGGGAGAATTGTAAGACAGTTTTCTGCTAGAAGTGTTTCCTTGATATATCTTTCCTTTCCATTAATCAATTTCCATTAATTTTGTGATCATTCTACACTTAGAATTGACTGTCTCCAATCCCAAGTTAATTAACTTAAAAAATTACCTGGGCTGCTTAATCCCTTTCACATCTCTTTTAGGGCAGTGATGAAATTTTTCCTAAGCTAGTCTTGGATTAGTTAATGCTTAACTCTATGCAAGCATGAACCCTATCTCTAATAATTCAAATGTAATCTCTCTTACTTTAAAACATCAGAATAATTATCTAGTTCTGGGCATTTGGGCTGAGATTCAGTATAATCTTTTTTTTTCCATTCAATATCTCTGTCACCAAAATTTAGAGCATGTAATGAGAAAGCAGCTGTGTGTGTTGTGTGTGTGTGTGTGTGTGTGTGTGTGTGTGCGTGTGTGTGTGCAGTCTCCTACCTACATTTTTATATTTTATTTTTAATGCCATCTGAAGTAATTATAATTAAACCTATTTTACGAATGGGGTAACTGAGGCCCATAGATGTTAAGCAACTTTTTTGATGTTTCACAGTCAGTAAATGGTAGAGCCAAGTTTGTATTCAGACTTTTATGTCTCCAAATTCTGTGCTCTTATACACAGTACTATACTTGGACATCTGTGGATATCACACTACAGAATTTGCCTCTTGTGCTTATGTTAATGACACATTATTTTTTTAGTAATTTTCTTTCTGTTTTTGTTTTGTCTCTTTGAGTTGTAAAATCCCACCATACTAAGATTTAAAAAATGACATGGATGGTTTTGACATAACTTAGATAAAAACTACATGGATTGCTTACCTTTATTGTTCCTTCTTGTGACAGATCTAAAGACTCATTTTGTAGTCATATTGAAAATTATGTTTTTTGGCTACATCTTTACAAATTCTCTCTGTTTTTGGTGGGATAAATCTTTTTTTTTTAATACCCTAGTACTTATGAGTAAAAAAAATGTACCATTAGGCTAGTAACACAAAGGATGGCTATGAGAGAGCTATGATTCCTTTGAGGTTTTAGAGGAAGAGATAAAGGAGATACTTGAATTTTTTAATTAACAGGGCCTGGCCTTTGTAATCTATTTTTATCCTCAGTAGAGTCCATTATTAGCTAGAAATGCCCTGGTTTTCTGTTTTGGCTGGTCCTATATTTTTTGGCTATGGTGTTGTTTTGCAGTATTAGTCTATGTATGCATAACTTTAATATTTAATGATGGTTTTTACCTAAAATTATTAAAGTTCTATTTGTTTTAAACAGTGACTTAAAAAAATTATATATAGTCGGCCCTTTGTATTTGTGAATTCTTATTCTTAGATTTAACAAATCATGGCTCAAAAAAACTTGAAAAAAGTAATTTAAAAATCAACGCAACGAAACAATAAAAAATAATAGAAATGAAAAACCAGAACAGTGTAACAATGATTTGCACAACATTTATGTTTGTGGATTGAGTATTATAAATCTAGAGATGATTTAAAGTATATGAGAGAACGTACGTAGGTTGTATACAAATGCTGCACCATATTATATAAGGGACTTGAGCATCTGCCAGTTTTGGTGTCCTGGAACCTATTCCCTACTGATACTGAGGCACTACTGTACAAGTACACCCAAATCATATATTAGATTTGAATTTGGTACCTTTAAAAGAAAAAGAGCTGCTAATTTGACATTAGTAATTTGGTGTGCAGGATTAATTTATAAAGCAATTATTGTATCATCATGCATACAAATTATTTTTGTAATTTATTATAATGGTAAATAACACTAGGAGATTCTTCAAAAAGGAAAAAAATATTCTTTTGTGTTAGGTTTCTTATGACTCTTCAGAGTAAAAATGTTCACTGTTCTACCCTGCTTTTTTTAAATAGGATATAGCAGATCCATTTTTTGCTTATTGTAAGCAACATGCAGATAGATTAGACAGAAAGTGGAAGAGAAAAAACTACTTGGCTCTCCAGTCCTATTGTAAAATGTCTTTGCAAGAGAGAGAGAAACAGCTGTCACCGGAAGCACAGGTATGAGATTCATGCCAAAACCCTTATTTTTTTCTTTTAAGATTATGGAATTCAGATCTCATGTGTGTTTTACAGTGACATGTGAAGTATAATTATGAAGTTTGGTTAGTTATCTAGGAAATCGGTTGTGATTAAGGTTAGTAATGAGTGTAATGTGTGGCTAAGTACATTCCTCCTCATTTAGTCAGCAGAGCAGTTGTTTATAAAGTATGTTTCCACATTGAAAAATGTGACTGTGAGGAAATTACTCTAGCACTGCAATATGTTGACTATGTCTTGTTTCAGTCTGTGAACAGGATTTCGTCAGTTTGCACATTATTTAAAATATATTTCTGTGTACATTAAGTAAATCTGTGGTGACTATTGTAGCTATTGAGAAGAGAAACTTCAGTTTTATCAAATTTGTTTCTCTTAACTGTCATCATGAGTTAGGATAGTTGTTACTTTAGATGTTCTAGTTGATTGTAACTCAGGAATAATGCAGCATACACTAAGGACCATTGACACATATAGTTAGCCTCTAAATATAGTTAGCCTCGATATAGGAAATTCTGGTTATCTTTACTTTTTTCTAAACATAGAAGTGAAAAATCAGTGTAAAAATCATAAGGAACACGTTCCATTTTCTTATATTTTATAGTTTATATGAATTTTTTTATAGGCAAGGATCAATGCCCGGCTTCAGCAATATCGTGCCAAAGCAGAGCTAGCTCGATCCACCAGACCCCAGGCCTGGGTTCCAAGGGAAAAATTGCCCAGACCACTCACTAGCAGTGCTTCAGCCATTCGTAAACTGATGCGGAAAGCAGAGCTAATGGGGATCAGTACAGATATCTTTCCTGTGGACAATTCAGACACCAGTTCTAGTGTGGATGGAAGGAGAAAACATAAGCAACCAGCCCTCACTGCTGACTTTGTGAATTATTATTTTGGTCAGTATGGACACTGATATATGCACATTTTGACTGAGAACAACTTACTAATGAAAATACTTGCAATGCTGTTAATTTTTAGAATTTTATTCGCCGTGCTGCATATATCACGTAGAAGCATCTGTATTTTCCTAATAAGTTGCAGGTTTTTGTAAAATGCAAGGCTCATATATTTGTGAATATATTTCAAAGTGCTTTAAAAAATATAAGTTTATAGATGTGATTGTCTTTATGGGTAGTTTCTTTTTTTGTGTGTTTTTGAATATCAACTTTTACTTTCTACTAAAGTAAAATTGGATATTTAATTTAAATAGAGAGAAATATGCGCATGATTCAAATTCAGGAAAATATGGCAGAACAAAAGAATATAAAGGACAAATTAGAGAATGAACAAGAAAAACTTCATGTGGAATATAATAAGGTAAGTTGACTATAAAATACTCAACATAATAGATCTTATTGATGGTTTCTTTTTGATTTTATGACATTTCTGTTTATGCTTCCATTTGAAATTCTTTTAGAACTTTTAGGCTCTTTTGTCACTTCTGCCCCTCATTATCTTCCGTACCATTTCTGTCTCTTACTGAGCATTTTATATGCAACCGTAATTCGGATCTCTTTCAATGTATTAACTCACTTAATTCTCACCTTAACTTTATAGTGTAGATTATGATTATTGTTACCATTTTCAGCGGAGGAAAGTGAGTCCTGAAGAGGTTAAGTTCTTTTTCCAGGGTTACATAGGTAGTCAAGTCATAGATGGGATTCAAGGCCAACTTAATCTGACTTTATTCCTTATTCTTAACCAATACACAGTAGTATAGAGGTTCACTTTCTAAGTTTATAGAAAATTTAGAAATGTATTTTTAAATTACTATTTATCTTGTATTGTAATGTTACTTTTGATTAAAAAAGCACTTCCCAATTTAAATTTTCATGTACCTGTTCATTCTAATGTTGAGGAAGATCGAAAAGAAATATAATATAAAAGCAAAATGTGACTAAAATGTCAGATATTTAGGAGCATGAGCATATAAAATGAGTATTGACTTATTGTTAGGAAACATCTTAAATCTTGAAATAGTAGTAGGAAGTAAATTTCCAATAATCAGATATAATGTAGTAGAAAGAGTATGTGGAATTAAGAGTCAAAAGACTTGGGGGCTCTTGCTAGTTCTGTGATCTTGACCTGGCTCACAAAAACTAATCCTTAGTTTTTTTATTGGGAAAATGGTGTAAATGTATCTTGGTAGAGTCATAAGGGTTAATTAGCAGAATGTCTGTAGCTTTATATTGTACACTATAATGGAACATATAACTGTAATTATCATTATTATTATTAAAAATGCTAGCATAAAACAAAATGTTTACATAGCAACAAAAGATACTATCAAATAATTGGATAGCCCTGTCTCAGTGGTATTGTGACTTGAATGTATTGAAAATATGTGGAATATACTGTGTAGATATTCTTGACAATTTATTGATAAATTATTTAAATTTTCATGAATTTTAATTAAGTTTACTAATTTGACTTACTCACTTTGTAGCTCTGTGAATCTTTAGAAGAACTACAAAACCTGAATGGAAAACTTCGAAGTGAAGGGCAAGGAATATGGGCTCTACTTGGCAGAATCACAGGGCAGGTTAGTTTCTTTCCAGTTGTTATCTCCTTCACTTCTTGCTATCTGTGTGATTTTTAGAGAACAGATTTCTGATACAGCTGTCGCTTTGCTAACTGTAGAATTCTGTTTGATCATTGCCTAATCCTTTGGGATAATGATTTCTGCAAGAAATACATCTAGAGCTCTGGAAGCCATCTATCGAGAACCTGCAGCTTAATTTTGTTGTTTCAACAGCTATCTCATTTGCAGAATTTTTTCATTTGCTCTGATTGACCTGTCATTTGTGATGAAACTAAGACTTGAAGCATGAGTTTCCCTACTACGTTCTTCTTTCCTTTAATTTAGCAGTTTTAGATTCCTTGCTCCATTTTTTCTTTCCTGTTGTTAGGCTATATTTTCTTGTATTTGGGTGTACAAACTAGAAAATTATTTTCATGTTAATTTGATTTTGAGCTGTGTAAGAGATGGTTTTTTGAATTGTAATGTTAAAATGTAGTTTTTCCCTTCAACCTTAAACAGTAGTTATGGTTGTAGTTATTTTTTTTTTTTAATTTTATGCATGAACATTTTTATTAAAGTTCTTGGCAATGAAAAGAATTATTGTCAGATGGGCTTCTTTGAATGCTTTTTTTAGTACTGTATATATAATTGATAAATTAAGAATTTTTTCAAATGATTTCAATTGGATATTTATTTATTTAAAAAAAATTTTTTTTACCTATTCCTGAAGAATCAGCAATTATTTTTTCTTTGTTGTTGATTTTTGGGTTTTGGTGGGTTTTTTGAGTCAGCATCTCACACTGTTTCCTAGGCTGGAGGGCAGTGGCACTATCACGGTTCACTGCGTCCTTAACCTCCTGGATTCAGGCGATTCTCCCATCTCAGCCTCCCGAGCAACTGGAACTATAGGCACATGCCACAGCTAATTCTTATTTTTTGTAGAGAATGAGATCTTACTATGTTGCCCAGGCTTGTCTCAAACTCCTGGGCTCAAGCAATCCTCCTACCATGGCCTCCCAAAGTGCTGGAATTACAGGCATGACCACTGTGCCTGGTTAGCAATCAGTTATATTTTGAGTATGATGGGGATCTACTGTTTGTGGCCCTTTCACTAAAAAGTAGTTTTATTTATGAAGGATGCCCTTCAAAGGAGAGATGTTTTTCAAAGTATTTGTTTCAGAGGCCTAGAAAGAATCAAATTCAAAACAGTTTGTGTAGATTATTTTATGTAGTAAAACATACTGATTTGTACTACCAAAGATGCTTTGAAGCTTGAATTATGAAGAATAATTTATTTTAAAAGGTGAGAATTAGTAATTGCCACTAGAAGAATTAGGCTTTGTTCCTATTGATTGGTTGTTGGTGAATTTGCAGAAGATTATAGAGTTTTATATTTAATATTTAGAAGTGTTAATGTTGAGTACAAGACTTTATTTGCCAAGGCTAGCATTATCTTTTGGCTTGATTTGCAAGTTTCTTCTATAAGAATCTCCTGTTTAGTGTAAAATATTATCTACTATAAAAGACATTGTCAATTATTAAATGTCTTCTAACAGAGGCTTGCAAATTTTCTTGTGCAGATGTAAAATATATAGCATAAGAGGAATTCATTTGTACTGCTTGCATGACACTTCTTTTCAGTTGGTTGAACAGATGTGGGCTCACCAGGCTACTAAGAAATGACTTTGATAGATGGTTGCTGTCTGAGAAGCCAGAATACTACAGATTAGTAGAAACCCAAAGAGAATCTCGCCTGCTTTGTTGGAGAGTTTGGTCCAATAAGATAATTTTTCTAATTAACCTATGGAGCACCAATATAACTGGGATATTGAAGAAAATAAACGGCCTCAATATTCTTTTTGTTAAGTGTGCTGTGTTATTTTTTTTTAAGCTCCCAAATATTTGTCCTTGTCTTTCACTTTTTAAAGCTGAGTAGAAGTTTAATTTTCGTAATGATTTAGTATACTACTGAAAATTGATGAAAGTATGTAATTATAGTCTTCTAATGGAAATAAATGTTAGACAAAAACTATTTTAGTCTTTTTTTGACAGTGTTATAACTGGTAAAGCAGATTTCCCTTAACAGTCCACTATATTTAGTTGGCTTGAGTACCAAATATAGGAAAGTGTTGCTTTTTTTCACCTTAAACAATATATCCTGCATTTGTTCAAATCTATAGAAGTTGAATATACCGGCAATTTTGCGAGCACCCAAGGAGAGAAAACCAAGTAAAAAAGAAGGAGGGACACAAAAGGCATCTATCCTTCCTGCAGTGCTTTATAGGCAAGTAACAAAATGATAATAGAGCATGTTGTGTATTTTTAAAATTAATACTTAGAGCAAGAAGATACTTCAAATATTTGAGAATGATATCTGTCCCAGAATTTAAGTTAAATGCATTTGAAGTTCATTTTTATCAAAGATGCTTTCTAGGTTGAATGATAGAGGAGGTTTTTGTTGCCATTTAGTAAGATAAATGACTTTTTATATCTTTTAAGTAACTGGTGATATATCGCGTAAACTTCATGGAAATGATGGTTCTCTTTGGGAAATTGGAAAGTTACTTTAAACAATATGGTGACTCTTGTCTCAAATAATCAAAACAATAGTAGATAAATAATTAAGATAATAATAGATAAAAGGACATTTATTTTTTATTTCACTTGAATGAGTTGGAGAGTTTTATTTGTGTTTTTAGGTAGTGATGGACTTCATTTATATATTATAAATAATTTTGATTGCAGAAGTATTTTTACTCAATATTTTCAGTGTTCATTGTTATGTTATTTTATGTGATCAAGACTTCGTCCATAGTTAAATAGTTGAGGATCTCACTTTTCTAATGTGACTTATATTGATTACGTGAGAGAAGTTTAGAAGATGGTATGTTTGTGGGTGTATATATGTGTATGCATACCTATGTAAATGCATAAATGTTCTTCTCAAAACTTCTTTCTCAGAAATAGCAGCATTAACAGCAATATCAATCACCATAACTGCTTTCCATTTTTTGTTGGAACCTCCCTCCATAAGTAGTAGCAAATGTCTTCCTTGAACTATGGAAGAGCCCACTGTTCTTGTAAAATGGAATGGGAACGGTGCCCCTCCTCAGGCCGGCCTTTCCAAATGCAGCTGGCTCATTTGTAACCATCAGGCTTATTGCTGTGCTTCTGACTTTTATGACTACAGTTCACTTTTTTTTCAGAATGTATTTTAAGCGACTTCCCTTTTTTACTCTGGGACCAGGTACTGGTTGTTTTGTGTATTTTTCTGGGGGGAGGAGCTTTTTTGTGTATGTATATTTTTTTGTTTTCCTAGGAGTATTAGAAAATAGATCTAACCATTACTGCTCTTTTGCTCTTTGCATACATGGATGACTCTTTTACATTTTCAACTTTTCCCTCACTCTGCACATTCCCAATATAAATATACTCTCGATTTTTAAGGTCATGGTGTTTGTATTCTCAGGAACAGTGAAATTGCCTTTTTGAATGAGAGAAGCTGGATTTCTTAAAAACAAAAATTCAAAATTTAACAGCTATTATCATAAAACTTCCACTCTTTGAAATAAATATCAGTTGGTATATTTTTTAAACTCAAAATTTGATTTTGTAAAGATACTTACCTTGGTAGCAGTTTTACATGTTGAATACTCTTTGAAAGGCTTATAATTAATGGTAGCAAAAAACTGGATTTTGTTTGTAAAATAGCTTTTTTGTAGTTTTAGGAACTTGGGAAATAATTTTGTTTCATAATCCATATTTCTAGAGAAGAAGTAAGCTGATGTTAAGTGGTTTTTAAGTGATGTTTAAAATTAAAATGATGTTGAGAATAAATACCTTACACGTGTTCTTTTTTGAAAGGTTGTATTTAAGTAATATTTAAATTTATACTAGATCCAACGATTTTTAACATTCTCAAAAGTATTTAGAATAAACAGTTATTGACACTATAAGATGAGTTCCATAAAAAATTTGCTGGCCCCAACAGGAGAAATATTAAGTTAATCAAGATGAAATTGAAAAATTTTTAAAATATGCTTTAGGTAAGCTGTGTTTTGCTATGATAATTATTATTCAAATTTTTATTTGCTGCTTTTATTCAAAGTTGTGGGATTTGTAAGAAGAACCATGATCAACATCTTCTTCTATTGTGTGATACCTGTAAGCTGCATTACCATCTCGGATGTCTGGATCCTCCTCTCACAAGGATGCCAAGAAAGACCAAAAACAGTTATTGGTAAGTAAAATGGGGGAGATTTAGATGCTTGAACTGGTTTGCTCTTAGTTTTAGTAGTATAAGATGAAGGACTATATCATACTGGTTGGTAATGAAGTATTTGGCACGTTTTTGAATTGATATTGTCATAAATACTTATTAGTTTTATGTGAATAAATCTGTGACAGCTTTTTTGAGAAATGAGTTTTCAGTTAATTGTGGCTATTTTGATATCTTAGCAATGGATTCTTAAGGCATGAATTCTGTCCATTGTGTGTAATTATCTTTTGTTTTATTGTTAAGAATTTCTCAAATGCTTTATTTTTTTTTTTTGAAATTGAACATATTTACCAAAATATGCCTTTATATTCAAAGCTTTTACTTGTAATTTAATATTTTATTTCTGAATTACTGTCACAGAAGGCTTTACTTCTGGTATTTGTCATTTGTGCTCGTTATATTTAAGTCCAGCCATTCTTTGAAAATCTAGGAACATTTGACAAACATTTCTGATTTAAAAAAAAAAATTAATTTAGGCATATCAAATTACTACAGGTGTCTGGTAAAAACTTAAACTATCTATATAATGAGTTTTATCCTTTTCTTAATTTTAGTCCAAGGAAGTAATAAATGTTCAGATTTTAATAGAGTGATTTCTTATAAGGAAGGATAATATAGGAAACGGAAAACTATGGAATGAACATGAGTGTTCTTTTTAATAGATTACCTTTCCGGTTTTAGAAAAGAGTGGCTTCCCAGACCCTTGATTGTGTGTGTTCCTCAAATACGCTAAGCATGTTTTTTGACCTTATTGTTTCATCTCTTACAGCTGTCTCTGTTTGTTTGATTAGGAGGCTGCTTTTTTTTTCACCATTTTCACAGGATTGCATTTTCATACTATTATTTTATCAGTTTGTTTTGAGATATTCATACTGGCCTAGTCCTTTTAAATACAGTGGAGTACATTTTTTTTGGTATTTATGTGCTTTAGAAACTTAGAATTTAAAAAGAAACTGCTACAGCATATTCGAATGCCAACAGTGTTAATAAGCATCTGGGTGGGTTTCTAAATTGGAAGCTAATTTGATAGTATCCAGAGCCAGGGCATTTTTCTGCGAATTTGGAAGATGGAGAAACACTATTCTCTCCGTAAATGAGGTTGTGTATGCTCCTAATAATCCTTCCTTGCAGACTCTGGTTTCCAGTGTGTGAGGATTTCTGGAAGAACTTCAGAAGAAAGTGCCTAGCCTGAGTGTTTTAGTGAAAATGCAGCAAAAAGGGCCTAAACTACTCAGGGTGTTTTATTGGTTACGGTGATTTTTAAGATAACTGACTTGCTGAGGCTGTAGAGCAAGACTTTTCCATGAATAAGTAAATGTAATTATTTGATTTTTCTTGAAAAATACTCAGCTGCCCAGAAGAGGCGAAAACTCAGGGGTTTCTTATGGCTGGGCTAGGGATGAGTGAAGTAGATGAAGAGTATAGGTGGGTAAAGAACTGAGCAGGGGATATAGGCTCAGTTTTGTTTGCTCATCTCTAATATTAAAGTGTATATGCTCTCTTTTTTTTTTTTTGAGTTGGAGTCTCACTCTCTCGCCCAGACTGGAGTGCAGTGGCTGCTCCCGGCCACCGCGGCCTCACCTGCTGGGCTCCGGTGATCCTTCCGCCTCAGCCTTCCAAGTAGCTGGAACTACAGGCGTGCGCTACTGCGCCCGGCTGATTTTTTGATTTATTGTAGAGATGCGGTCTTGCTGCCCAGGCGGGTCTTGAACCCACGGGCTCAGGCAATCCACTCACCTCAGCCTCCCAAAGGCGCGGGATTACAGGCTGAGCCACCGAGCCCGGCTTATGCTCTCTTTTTTAGTTTGTTATTTTGGTTTTTGTTATTGTTGTTTTTTTAAAAACATACAATCTGCACATTGCCTTAAATTCTTTCTAGGACAAGTTTGGTAGGATACAAATAGTAGGACTTGATTTATTAGAGTAGCTCAAATAATAATTATTTTGATTTATAATACTAATGCTATGTTTCTACCACCCATTTGATTAGAATTTGTCTTATTTTTTCTAAGTATTTGTAGAATATTTTGAAAAAGGTTATTTGCCAGAGACATAATGCTTATTATAGCCTTTTATTCTTTGGATATGCCTTTGTGTTCTCTTTTATGTTGAAAAGAAAATATAAGCCCTATGAAAAGTTTACAGAATAAAAGTTTTTTTATTTGTTTTTCTTGATAATTTGTCCATTTAAAATATTTTTTCTTCACCCCTCCACTCATTAACTGAGTAGGAATTCCAGCATTGGGATGGAACATTTACTGTATATAAAATAATATGTATATCTACTATTAGTTTGAAGTTGTATTCAGGTTTAATAAGTATAAAAAGAACAAAACTTTGAAGTTGAGTTAAATGTTCTTTCCTGCTTCTAAAGGAGATACTTACATAATGCAGAGGTGTAAGGGACTGAGGTATTACTTGACTGAGATGATATTTGAGCCATCTTTTTACATTTTATATAGGTGTCTGTCAAGACATTTCTTTTTCTTTTTTTTTTTGAGTTGGAGTCTCATTCTGTCGCCCAGACTGCCACCGCAGCCTCAACCTGCTGGGCTCCGGCGATCCTTCCACCTCAGCCTTCCAAGTGGCTGGAACTACAGGCGTGCGCTACCACGCCCAGCTAACTTTTTTTTTATTTATTGTAGAGATGAGGTCTCACCAAGTTTCCCAGGTGGGTCTCGAATCCGTGGGCTCAGGCAATCCATTCACCTCAGCCAAGACATTTCTTTAAAAAGAGGGGAAAGTATGGTTGACAGCTTAAAAATAAGAAAAAAAAACTGTGGTGTGGGATCCTGAGTTCTACTTGAAGACTAAAAATGGTAGTTTGTGGAGGTGAAAAAAAGTAAATAATGAATTATGTGTAATATTCAAAATGTGGAATGTTATTGGGTATATTACATTTATAGGTTCATAATTCTTTTTTCTTTGACTTATTCAAATAAAGTCCTCTAAATTAAGTTAGTATACTTTCTTCTCTTAGCACTATTATATGGTAAAATTATTTTTGTTTAATAATTAAGATTCTTGGAACCCCCTTGGATCATCATTCCGATTGTAAGTTGCAGTTGTGTGGTGCTGGAGGTGAAGAAGGTATTGCAGATTGAGAAACATCTCTTTGTATTTTAACGTGAAGGTTATTCCTTCGAGGTTGACTTGGATTATTTATACCTAGAAATTCATTTTATTTAATTGACTATTTTGATTACTTAAGATTTTTTTTAACATTTTCTTTGGGAATTATAAATTTTAGCACTTTTTTTCTAATAGAATTTATTAGGTGGCCAGGCATGGTGGTTCATGCCTGTAATCCCAGAACTTTGGGAGGCTAAGGTCAAGAATTGCTTGTACCTCAGAGTTCGAGACCAGGCTGAGCAACATAGCAAGACCTTGTCTTTACAAAAAATAAAAAACTTAGCGAGGTATGGTGGTGCATGTCTTTAGTTCCAGCTGTTTGAGAGGCCAAGGCAGGAGGATCACCTGAGCCCAGGAGGTCAAGGCTACAATGAGTCATGATCGTGCCACTGTACTCTAACCTGGGTGCCAGAGTGAGACTCCAACTAAAAATAAAAATGTGTTAAGTAAAAATTTGTAAGACTGAAATTGTTAGGTTAAAATTCCCATAGAGCCTCCAAAAATGTCAGGTTAGACCAGATGGGGTCGGGGGTACGGTCTGTGATGCGATGCTATGTGAAAGATGCAAAGAATTGCACAGATGGTAGATTGTAAAATATAGTTTATTTAGAAAGTAAATGGGGGTCGGGGAGATTCACCTTCCCAAGGTAGGGGAGGATGCCAGAGCTAGGCAACATGGCGGCCGTAGCTCAAAGAACACACGGACAGACCATAGCTTAGCAAGGCAGTGGTGGCTGGCTGCTCCAGGTTGAATGCTTTAACTCTTCCCTTGATGGGGGAGCTTGTTAAGATTATCTGGTGGTGGTCTGCTTCACATCATTAAAAAAGCACACTCTATTAAATACTATAGACTCCATCTCATAAATATCCTTTAAGATATATAAAAGCATTTCTGCTACTTTAATTGGTACACGGGATCCTAAGAATTAAGAATCTCATTAAAGCCATGGATTGCCCAATTCAATGGAATCAAATAATATTTGGGAAAGTTGTGCTTATCTTTCCTAAAGTCAAAATATACCTGGCTTCTTTTAATAATCCACTAAACTGCTATTATCTATAAATTTAGCTAACTTCACTTCTGAAAAGACAACGATGGAGTTGATATACTCAAAGAGCAGCCTTTTCAACATTGCCTTAAATCTTATGTTTTTCTAGTAGTTTACTGTACCCTCTAATTACTAGCCAAGGACAGAACCAGTTTCTCAGAGGTTGCTATTGATAATTGTTTTATAACCCCCTTCCCAGCTTGTTTTGTACTAATTAGCTTCTCTATTTTAAGTATTTGCCTCTATCCATAAGACCCAAGCTGACCTAATCTGCTCTTAGTGACCTTCATGACACAGACAGACCTCACCATCATGGCAACAATCTTTTGACTAACCCATCCAACTGCTTGCTGTCCATCACCTGACATCAGTACCTGTACTCACCTACCCCTTCGTGATGACGTGGAGCAGACCACTACCCAAACACCTTAACAACCTTCCCCCATCAAAAGGAAGGTTTAAAAAGATTCAACCTGGAGCAGCTATTTACCATTGCTTTACTAAACTGTGGTGTGACCATGTGCTCTTTGAATTATGGCCACCACCATGTTTCCTAAGCTTTGGCCCCCTCCCCTATTGGAAAGGTGAATCCCTTTCTCTCTATTGCTCTCTCTTTCCCTCTCTAAGTTACTTTGTAAATAAACTATATTTTCCAATCTAACTTTGGTGCAATTCTTTGCATCTTACCTGTGCCACCGGCTCAGCACACTGGCCCACTGAACTAACAATCCTCCCAGACCTAACAATTAGTATTAAGATTATTTGTTTTAATACTATAAAGGCAAGCAGCTGATCCTTTTTGTGATATAATTTGATACTTCCTCTAGGCATATCTGTCTTGAAGGTTGGTGTATTTATTATTATTTATAATAATAACTAATATTTCTGGGGTTTTCACAATTCAGTTCTGCCTATAGATTATTTCAGAATATACTCATCATTTCAGTTCTGACATCCTGTAAAGTGTTTACTCACTTCTTTTACTAGTCTTTGATTTTTTTCATGTGTGACAAATTTAGGGCCAATTAAGTGTATTAAAGTTTAGTTTTGTTTTTCTTTTGATGGTCATCTGTGACTTTAAGGAATAGAGTGCTTGGTTGCTCTAGCAATAGATACATATAAATTTTCTGAGTAACATATCATTAAGTATATATTTGTTTTTCTGTCATTGATCAGGTTTTTAAATAAAATTTGTGGCAACTTATACTTAAATTATTGGGAATTTTAAAATATTAATATTTTAAATATTATTTGCATTTTAGCAATTAATGTTTTTGCAGTGACAAAACAAATGGTACTTGATATTTAACTCTTGTTGGAGTACAAAATTTAAAACTGTCATTTTTGAAATTAAATACTCGTTTGATATTGTTTTACAGTATTAATGAGTGAGAGATGTGAATCTGATGAAGCATGAATTCAGATGATAAAGAAACTTTGAATATAATTGATAATATTAAAAGCTAGTAGTATATTCAGGGTACTGATGTAACATGTAAACTGAATATCAAATACAATTTTATACATTATAAACACTTTTATAAAGAGAATCACTATCAGTTAAGACTTTTGGAGAATTGCTTTCTGATCATTCTTTTAAATTTGAAGAAAATATTTGAATAAAGATTACTTTTAACAACTGGTTGTAAATTTTGGAAATGGGCCTTTATAATTGGCAACGTAAAGATTTCCGAGTCATTGTTTAGATTTCTGCTGTTTGAATGTTATCCACTAGCCACATGTGGCTACTTACATTTAAATCAATTAAAATTTAATTTGAAAATTTAGTTCCTCAGTCTCACTAGCCACATTTTAAGTGCTTATTAGCTGTCCTAGCTAGTGGCTCCTGTTGCCACAGTATAACTATAGACAGTTCTAACATCATAAAAAGTTCTGTTGGATACCACTAGTCTTAATTTCACTCCAATTATTTTTTAATAGTTCCCATATTACAATACTTTATAAGTGCTGCTTTAAAAAACCCTTTAGTAAATAAGTTTCTATTCTTTCAGCAATATTATGGGCCACCAACTAAAATGACCTTTTTTTTAACACTTAAAGTTTGTTTCTACACTTTTATTTAAGGATATTCAGCATATCTTGTCATTAACTACATTTAAAAGATATGATAACTGTTACAAGGTTTAGTATCAGAGCCCATGAAGGACTTTGGTATTCTACTGTCACAATAGATGTCATGTAAAGAAAAGTCATGATTTCCATAGGAAAACTACCTTTTTAATTAGTGCGGAATCTCCTATGTTGGTTCACTTAAACATACAGCATTGTTGCTTGTGTTCTTATGATACTTACAGGGATACATTAAGTTGCTTTATGTATTATATTTGGGGTAGTCATTCTGAGAGTAGTGTATATGCATTTCTAATGTTTAGTTATTATATACCCTGTGGTCATACTACCTGTGCATATTTTTATATATTCTTTACATATATCGGAATTTTATATTTATGAAAACTATGACTAAAGCTAGAATATAATAATAAAGATAGGACCTTATTCTTGTTTTTTATGTAGGCAGTGCTCAGAATGTGACCAGGCTGGGAGCAGTGACATGGAAGCAGACATGGCCATGGAAACTTTGCCAGATGGGACCAAACGATCAAGGAGACAGATTAAGGAACCTGTGAAGTTTGTTCCACAGGATGTGCCGCCAGAACCCAAGAAGATTCCAGTAAGAAACACGGTAATTTATTCTTTATTTATCATCATAAATTTCTGAGGCCAGAATTTAAGAGGGTGAGAAAGATGAAGCATACTCAGGAGCCAAAGAAAGAAACATGTATTGCCGCTGGCTGTTCTTAAGAATTTATTTTTCTGTATTATTAGAGGTACTGTGCTTACTTGAGTGTTGATAGTTTGTATGTTCAGTTGAAGGTACGATAATAACACCTTGGTGCAGCTAGCACTCACCTTATGGGACACAGCCTTCCTGAAGCCTTAGATATCCTCTGAATCCCTTGGCAAGGTCATCTTGGTCCACGGAGGCCATCTCTTCCCTTGACTTTGTGCTTCTCATTCTCTTCTTTTTCTTTATAATTACATTTTAAACCTATGTATTCATAAGTAATATAGTTTAGTTTTGCAGGTTTTGAATTTTATGTAAATAGAATCAAACTTTCTTCTTCTGTAACTTGGTATTTTGACCAGTATTATATTAATTTGACTCATACATGCTGATTCATGTAGTTTAATGTATTTTCACTAATGTATAACTTTTTTTGTTGGAAAATAGATAATTATCTAACTTTTATTTTGTTGGAGGGCAGTTAGGTTGTTTTCATATTTTTCTATCATAAGCAACTTTGTTTTAAATATTTTTGTGTCTTCAGCATTGTAACAAGAAGCTAGGGTAGATATTAAGGTGTTGTTAGCTGATTTATAGACTATCTGCATCTTTAGTTTTGCTAGATACTATTATTTTCCAAACCAGTTCACACTTGTATACCAGCAATAGATCATGTTTCTTTTGCTTCACAAACTTGTTTTGACCAATATTTTAATGCTTTCCAGTATGATGTTGTCATGTTGATTTTAATTTGCATTTCTCTCAATACTAATGATTTTGAGCATCTCTTTATATATTTTGGTTAATTTTATTTTCTCTTTTGGGAAGTGTGTCTGCAAGTCTTTTGCTAATTTTTTGGTATTGGGTTATTTGCCTTTCTCTCATTGAAATTTATTTGAGGCCAGGTTTTAAAGTTTCCTCCAGAAGTCATTTTTATTTGTTATTACCAGTCCCTGGGAGTCTCTACCAACCTGAGCCTATTTTAAATAAAAGTTTGGTGTGTGTGTTTTTCATTAAGTCAGTAGTATAAATTTCTGCTCCAAATTCATAAGAGCTGGCTTGCAGTTATGAATTTTTTTTTTTTTTGAGCCAAGACAGACATTTTTTAAAAAATCTATCTTTCTCTGAGGGAGCTATAAAGATTTTTTAGGGTTTGTTGTCATCATTTGTTTTGTTGCCTGTTTCTTCTTTTTTCTTTTTTAGAGGTAGAGTCTGGCTCTATCACATAGGCTAGAGTGCAGTGACAACAATCATAGCTCATTGTAGTCTCAGGTTCTTGGGCTCAGGGATTCCTCTCCCCTCAGCCTTCATAGTAGCTGGAACTACAGGCATGCACTAATATGCCTGGCTAGTTTTATATTTTTTATATTTTATAGAGATGGGGTCTTGCTGTGTTACCAAGGCTGGTCTCAAACTCCTGGCCTCAAGTGATCCTCCCACCTTGGCCTCCCAAAGTACAGTGATTACAGGCCTGAGCTACCACACCTAGTCATATTTCATTTTAGAGAGTCTTTATTTTTTTCTTAAAGTGACTATTTTCTCAAAAGCTTTTTTTTTAATTTGTGGTTACCCCTTATATTGCAATTACTTAAAAGATCTTTGTTAGGCTGAGTGGGGTAGTTCACACCTACAATCCCAGCACCAAGACCTCATCTCTACAATAAATAGAAAAGTTAGCTGGGCATGGTGGCACATGCCTGTAGTTCCAGCTACTCGGAAGGCTGAGGCAGAAGGATCGCCTGAGCCCAGCAGATTGTGGCTCTGGTGGCCGTGAGTGTGCCACTGCGCTCCAGCCTGGACAACAGAGTGAGACTCCAACTCAAAAAAATTTTTTAAAAAGATCTTTTTTAGGAGAAATCACCTAGATTTTCTTCATTCAGTTTTGTATTTTGGGCTCCTATGAAATTAATGAGGCAATTGAAATAATTTATTTTGGGTGCTATAAGTTGATCAGCTTGTAATAATAATTATAATCCCTAGTAGTTTAAAACTTTTTTTAGACTTCAAAAATGTATTTTATTTATAAAGGAACTAGAGAGAATTTTCCTTTTCGTAAATTAAGCCTGCTAGTTTCTGTTTCTAAAATGCTAGTTTCTGTTTCTAAAATGCTAGTTTCTGTCTCTAACTGTTTGAGACTGATATCTACAGTTATTCTTAAGATCTTAGAGAAAAGTTATTATTACTTCATATATCTATGTCTGCAAAGATTCCTCTTATGATACATTATTTTCCAATTTCTTTATTGTTTAAAGAAATTCTTCATGGCCAGTATAATCTTTAACTTTGGAGTTACCATATAGAGTAAATTATGAATATTATAGTGATATTTGTGTGCCCATAGTTCAATATTACTTATGATAAACATGGATTCTATAATAACTTAAAGGATTCTTCTATTTTTTCCTTTCCTTTACCTGTCTGCTTTTGGGTCCTAGAATTATAAGAAAACTTTTAAATTTTCTAATTTAATCTAGTTCCTTTCATCTTGTTCTTTGTCTCTTGTTTTCTTGTTTGAAAGTTTTTAACTTATTGTAGATACTGGTGAGTAAAATACCAAGAAAGTATTTCATGGTCAGTAACTTTAAGGAGATGCATTATGATTATATTCTTGCTTGTAGGAATTAAAATACAGGTTGAAGCTCCAAAAATTTCTACTATTTGGAAACATGGTTCCTTTGTTTATGTATCTTTTTTCCTTAGCTTGTTTTATCAAAGTGCATTTTTTCAAGACACAATTTTCTATAGAGTACTACTGTGTGGTACCAGGGTTGGATATGGTACTTTTGAGGCCATGGATTACTTATATCAGGATCTCTGGGGATATTGATTGAAATGTCAACTTTGGACCCATCTTGGAGCTAATGTATCTTTGGATTCATTCTGTTACTAATTAATTAGAATTTATGGGATTAGGCCAAGCAGATTTGTTAGGTACTGTCTTTACACTGAATGAAGGTTAAAAATAACTACAAGTGGCTATTGGGTTTCCTCTTTCCCTTGCCTCTTTCCTGTCTTCCCTCCAACAATCCATTCAGAGTGTCTTTGATGTTTAGTTGGTGTCAGGTGTCATGCCTAGGTTTAACAAAAAAAAAAGAAAAAGAATGAGAGATTCAGAAGAGAATCAATTATTTTGATCTTGATCTTACCATTCAGGCTGAGTTCCTATTGTTACCTTAATTTTGTATCTGTCATTTCTGTTTTAGAGTTGCATTAACTGTTTAAAATTAGTAGATGGTATAGTGAAAAATGAGATGTTCTAGTTACCTTTCTTAGCACAACATTAATTATGGGAATTCAGACATGTAACGGCTTACTAGCCTAAAAGTACGCCTTTTGCAGTATATAACAGATTTGTCTCTCCCTTTGTTACATTTTTAAATTGTTATTCCTAGTATCCTCCAAGTTACACTTTTAAATTTAGTATCTATATTTATAGTTTACAATTGGTGGTATTCCATCTTTGAATACATTATTATAATGTTTTTGATTTTCTCAATTTTCACTTTTCCTGCCATGATTGGCTAAGGTAAAGTTTATTTTCACATTAGTCTTATTATTCTACCAAGATTTTGAAGATAATTTTACCTTCGTGACATACATAGAGTAACAGTGACATACTGTAAACTTCATTATTCCATTTCAGAATAATATACCACTCAATAAAACTTTTGAAATGGTCATCTGTTTTGTAACTTTGTATCAATTTCTGTCAAATTTATTACATTCTCTTAGGTTACAGTGATTGCATAATTTAGAAAAGTAATTTTAGTTTATGCTACTGAAAATCATTTTTCTCTTTCAGTAACTCATTTTGTGGGAATTGTGAATTAGAATCTTCTTGAAATAATTTTATTTTTAACAATTCCTATTTTCGTATAATTAAGCATATAGTACTTTAATCTTGTTATTGAACTTTGTGGAGTTGCCCCAAATAATCAAAAATATAAAATACTGAGGGCTGCCTTAGATTGAAGTTTCACTTTTAATTGAGTATTTTTCTTTACTTCCTGTTATCACTTTCTCACTTTTTATACTTTATGTCTTATGTTTAAAAATAGCATCATAGTGTTAGTAAGGAAGTGAAAGGTAGAAGGAAGGGATTCACATTTAAGAATACTCGAATAGGTCTTGATGGGTTGCTACTTTTGTAATTAATCCAGCCATTATCAGTTTGTGTTTTTTCCTATTTTTTGACCTTTGAATATTTTGTTTCATTACACTTTTGAAAGGTAGGCAGATCATGAGGATATGGCTGGAGGGATTAGTTTATCTTTGTATGAGGGAGAAAACCCCTAAAACACTGGAATTTACTTATCAAAAAGTGTGTATTTACTCATGTAATAATAAACATGTACGTTTGAACTTCCATCTCCTTCAAAGTACTCTCTGTTTGATACAATGCACATATCGAGACAGTTTTTCCACGGCTCAAAACAATTTTTGAACTCATTAATTTGGATGCCTTTTAGTGCTTCTGCCATTTTTTATTTCACCTCTTCCACACTGGCAAAACATTTCCCTTTTTTCATCTGGGAAAACAATAAACGCTGCTCAGGATCAGACCAGGTGAATGGAGAAGGTGGAGTATAGTGGTCATGCTGTTTTTGATCAAAAACTGCTGAACACTCAGCATGGTGTGTGCAGGTGCATTGTCATGGTGAAAAAAACCAGTCACCTGTTTGCCACAACTCAGGACCTTTCTTCTGCAAATTGTGATGCAACTTTCTCACAACTTCCAGATAAAAACCTTGTTTGACCATTTGATCTAGAGGAACAGATTCTGAGCGTACTACAAGAGGCCCACCTTCCAAAAGACAATTTTGGGTTGTTTTGAGTTTCCCCCAGTTGGAAAAATAATATGGAGATAGTTCAAGAAACATAGAAATATTCAAATATTA